AAGAATCAAGAGAAGATGATTAACTTTAAGATGTTATAGTGAATTATTGCTTCGAACCTTTAAACCATTCCAAAATTTGTTGAAATTAAATTCGGAAAACGTTAGCGTTAGGTTAAAATTAAAAAGAAGAATTAGAAATTACTGCAAAGATAAACTTGAGGTTAAAAAGAATGAAAGAAAATATTTCGTTTATATTCCTGTTTAAATTAGTTCTTATAATAACCGAATTACAAATTATAGTTCATGTAAATAATCAATATGCATTTATTCGAATTACTTTTTTTTTTAGTGAAATTTCTTTTTCAAGAACTTATAAGACTTAGCCACTTAGGGTTCTTGTATAATCATCATTGATCGAATAGATCAATTAATCGACTATAATATTGTCACACAAAGAACAAAATATAGATTTAGGCTACTTGCTTATTCTTGAATATGCAGATGATGGTATATTGAGAAATAATTTAGAAAATAATTTTAATAAATTAGATTGGAATATTAAATCATTACAATTTGTGATGAGCTTGCAGGGGTTTGGCATCGAACTGTGTGTCTCTTGGATAGGCCTTGCAAAGTACTTAGATGATTATAAAAACGCGAACATATATTGTACTCTGTTTCTTGTTACTTGCGCCTTTAGAGTAAGATTGAGGTCGCGCTTACGACAAATATTCAGAGAATATGTTGAGAAAAATCGAAATAACACCATTTCTCCCACTATAGAGACATTATATACAAGAATATGTATTGCAACGCGAGTTATGCTCTCTGATATACACTGGGCCAGTTCAATTTTGATCGTTCGGATTTTTGATGGGTTTCAAGTAGATATTATTGGCTAACAGGAATACAGGATTGTGTAACTCGATCAGTGACCCTGATCGTATTTTAAAATAGGCAAAGCACAACAAAAACAAATGGGCTGATTGGTTATTTTGAACAGTGTACTCAATTTTGATTTTGATCATATGTTCGGATTGTCAACAACCCGAACGATCAGAAATGAACTGGCCTACTATCTTTATCGTTGCATCTGCTTATTTAAATTTTCCTCTATTGATTGCTTATTTTTTGGAAATTCGTGAAGCCACACGTTGAATTTGCTTATTTATCTTAATAAAAACCTTGCGTAGAGCTATTATAAAATTTTTGACACCTTATCGTTATATATATATTGCTCAGAGTCCTTATACCATATATTTTTATAATTATCAATTGAATATGTTTTAACCTAAAGAAAGAAACTAGTTAATTATAATATTTAAGAAAAGAGTTCAAAAATATTTACATACCTCATTTAAAAAATTACTGGAAATATTCTGAGAATTATAAACATTTTAAAGCTATTGATTCATTTAATTGTATATCTTTATGATCAAATTTTTAATTGCATTACTTAAATTAATCTGTTAATCTATCAATTTGTTTGTCCAGTTTGTAAAATTTCATTCAAATAACTTTTTTACATCATTTATATTCTGCATTATATTTATTAACATATCTATCACAAACAATTTTAAAAATTGATTTAAATCAAAGACTATAATATAATCAATATTATAGAAAATATTTAAAATTAAATTTATAGAAGACTTACATATCTTTTTCAGACTTCAGAAATACATTAGTAATATTTTGTGTAATTAGATGTAATAAAATAACTTCTCTATTTACTGAATTTCTTGTATAATTATATTCCAAACGTTGTATAATTAATTTTATCACCTGGCTACTAATTGGTATTTAGGATTTTTTCCGCCAGTTATAAACTGGCGGACCAATTAGTATATCTAGGATGATAAAAAAGTTATTTACTGATCTAGTTTAGTATATAAATGGGCCATCATCCTTCGGATGATAACCCATTTATATACTACTAGATTAGTAAATAACTAATACGTATTTCTTAAATTAAATTTATCAATTTGTTTATTTCACTGGTTCAGTTGGTGGAATATCTTTTAACCAATTTATTTTACATAGTTTACACCATCCCATAATTTTTATAGATAAAATATTCTTCACATTTAGTACAAACTTAAAACTTCTACCACTAGTGCTAATCATGATTATATAAAGCAAGTTATACAATGTTATTAATTCGTGATTTTTTTTTAGTGAAAACATTTTGCCAAAAGATTTTCAAAGTCCCTACTCCATCCAAAAAATCACTCATTCAAATTTTTATAAGTATTAACGAAACGATTAATAAATAGTAATTACAAAATTTGATGTTCAATTAAAAATTTAAAAGTATTAAAACATGTTACTTTTCAAAATTCATAAAATCAAATATTTAAACATTAAATTCTTATGTCGGTAAAGCAAAAAAAAAAAATGATAAAATAGTAAAATTAATTACAGTATATGTGCTTATAAACTAAAAAATACCGTCGGAGTTTATGTTAAAGAAAGAAAAAATATTTATACTTATCTTGTGGATCGGTAATAAGACGTAAAGAAAGGGGCCTAAAAGAAAAGGACTAATAAAGAGAAGATCTAGACAGAGAAGATAGACCTAAAAAAAAAGAGGAAAAAAAATAAGTTAAAATACCACACACACACTCCCACACTCCCACACTCCCAACCCACATACCTAAAGAGAGACGTAAAGAAAAAGGGCCTAAAAGAATATCTAGTAAAGAGAAGTCCTGGACAGAAAGAAGATAAACCTAAAAAAAGGATGACGAAAAAAATAATAAATGAAACACCACATACACAAACCCACACACAAACCCACACTCACACTCCCAACCCGCACTTCCACACCCACCCGCACTCCCAACCCACACTCCCACACTTCCACACTCCCAACCCGCACTCCTCCCAACCCACACTCCCACACTTCCCACACTCCCATCCCACACTCCCACACTCCCAACCCACACGCCCACACGCCCACACTCCCACACTCCCACCCGCACTCCCAAGCCACACGCCCACACTCCCACACTCCCACCCGCACTCCCAACCCACACGCTCACACTCCCATCCCACACCAACCACATAACTCCCAAGCCTAACCCACACTACCCACTTACTTAAAGGAGGACATAAAGAAAGAAGACCTAATGAAGAGAAGACCTAGACAGAGATGAAAAAAAAGACGACGAAATGAAAAAAAAAGGGGTCTAAAAGAAGACCTAATAGAGAAGACCTAGACAGAGAGAAGATAGACCTAAAAAATAAATGAAAAAAATATATGATAAAAACACCACATACAAACCCAACCTACACTCCCACACTCTAAAGGAAGACGTAAATAAAAATGCCTAAGAGATAGAAGACCTAATAAAGAGAAGCCTAGGCAGAGAGAAGATAGATATATTGTATATATATAATATTATTAGTTGACGAAAAAAAAAGATGATGAAAAAAAAGAGAGGTATTGCCCGTATTGAGTGTATATAAATACTTTTTGGGAGCATAGTATCTTGCATAATGCAATTGTTTTGACAATACAATTGTTTGACAATATGAGTAATTTTTTCATGGTCATGACTAATAGATGGCCTAAATAACGATATATCTGCGTCTGATCTATTCCAGTTGGTTGGCTCGTGAAGATTTTTGTGGCTAATCCAGTTTCAGCTTGATCAGATTTTTTTTTTTTCGTTATGAGATGGTGCGATCAGCCGCAGTATATCGTGTTGCCGATTATTATTTTTTTTTTTTTCAAAACCAGAAATTTTTTTTTTTTCCTCTTTTTCTAGTTATTAAAATGTTTAAGATTGATGTAAATGATTTTAGATTAAAAAATTGAATTTTTGTTTACGCTTAAATTTTCTTACATTGCTATTATCACCGATTTTGGAACTAAGTGTGATCTCGTGATTTGCTACTAATCAAAACAACAAAAAAAAGATCAAAAACTTAATAAATTTTAAAATCAATATAATAAAATGATATAAATTTTGTTTATATAGTTTATTATAAATAAATTTATTATCGATTTAACAAATATAATATGTAAAAATAAAGATTTTTGTTAGATTATAAAGGTAAAAAAAAATATACTTAAAAAAACGAATATTCACTCTCTAAAACTCATAATAAGAATAAATGAATCATTAACGAGTTTATATACTGTAGCCATTTTTAAAAGGAAACCACTTGAAAACTTTGTTTATTGTTAACGTTAATGTTAACGTTAACGTTTCGTTCGTTCTGATCTGTTCAGGCGTCCATATTTTCTTCTTTTCCTTTTTATTATAATATTTTATTCCAGTTTTTTAAGACCAGATTTTTTTATTTATTTTTTTTTTTAATTTTTAATTTTTTTTCGTGTTTTTCTTTAGAATCGGAAGATTTGAGTTTAGCGTGATGCTACGTCGCAACAATAATATCATCCAAAAACCTGCCATGTTTAACGTTTATTTGTTATAATAAAAATTTTCATATTTTATCAATATATAATCTTTTGAATTTGATTATCTCAGAAAAAAAAAATCATAAAAAATTAGGGATACAAAGCTTACATTTATTTATAGATTTATATTTAATCGAATAAATAAAATATTACATATACAGTAAGTATATAGGCACTCATTTGCAACTTAGAGTTAAATATAAAATTAGTCAAATTTATTAAAATACTAATTAATATACACAATATAATAGTTAAAGATAGATTATAAATAAACAACAAACTCGATTAAATATTTTAAAAATTAATAATATATTTTAAAGTAAAAAAAATAACGTCATAGATTTCTAATATTTCATTTTTTTAGTGAATGGATAAAGAATTTTGAATTGATAAACTTAAATTTTGTGATAGTAAACTACTAAATAACAAAATTGATAGATTCATATAATTAGTATCAATTGTAATTGTAATTGTAATAAACACATTTTTTGATATCCATATAATTCTTAAATACCTTTCAATATCTATATCAAAATCTTGTTCTGTTGAAATATAATTATGATCATAACCTAAAGAATATGATTTATTTTATTAATAATTATATAATATTTCAAATTATAATTAAATTTTATTAGTAATTAATACCTTGTTTACTATTGCTAATTGAGATCGTTGATGATAAAGATAAATTGATGGATGAATACTCAGAAATAAAAGAATTTAATAGTCTACTTGTATAAATGGCTTCTGAGTGATGTTTCTCAGCAAATTCGGGACCAATCGTCTTTGATGTTATTAGTTCCATTCTTTTTGTTTCAGCTTGAATAAATTTTGCTTCATTTTTACCTTTAAATGCCCAACCACCGAAAGTTAAACGAATTTTTTTTATAGAAGGTCTTTTTTTTGGATTAGGATGCCAACACTTTTTCATTAAATTAGCATAACATTTTGGTGTATCTTCTGTAATTTTTGGTCGTAATCCATCAAGGATTTTATAAATAAGTTGAACATCATGCTTAATATTAGAAAAAGGGTTACAACCTGTTGTAAGTTCCCACATAATCATGCTAAAACTATAAATATCAGATTCCTGAGAAAATTCTGATCCTTCAAAGATTTCTGGAGCAATATAAGGTATTACTCCATAGTTTTCATGATTTGATGATTTATTATTTACAGCTTGTGATAATCCTAGATCTCCAATTTTCCATTGATAATTTTTATCATAATTATTATTTGTTGAATCAAATAATATGTTTCCACTATGAAAGTCTCGATGCATAAATTTTTTATTATGAATGGTCTCAAGTCTAAATTAAAAAAAAATAAAATTTAATAACAGATAACCTAAATTTAAAGAATATAAGTAATAACCATAAATACCCTTCTGAAATTTGCCATAAGATATGTAGTTTTTGTTTATTCCATGTAATACTTGTAAAATTCTTTTGTAAATATTTATGTAAATCTCCGTCTGATGCATATCTCATAATTAATATATAATCTTTTAATTTGGGATCTTTTGTAAACCCATAAATTTCAATAATACGGCTATTAGAACAATGTTGATATGATTTTAACTAATATAAAATTATAAGAATAAAATTAATTTTTAAAACAATTAAAATTTATTACTAAATAAGATATGTGAAATATATTTTACCTCATTTAAAAAATATTTTTCTATATTTTTAGAATTTTCGAATCTTTTTAAAATGACAGATTCATTTTCACTTGACCAAATTGCCTTATATATAATACCAAATCCTCCTCGTGCTATTTCATTTATATTCGTAAATTGAGAATACGGTATCCACTTAATTTGTTCTCTGTCATATCTTTTTTCAAAGGTGAGATCTATGATAAATGGTTCGAAATATTTATCAATCATTTTTAGAGATTTTGCAAATTCAGTAAACTTTAATTTACTTAAATTATCATATATAATATTACTATAAATAAAATCATCAAAACCACTAAATTCACTGATAAGTGATATTCTTTTACATTTTCTACATTGAGATTGACCTGTAGGTCCAAAAATAACATTTGTTGTTAAGCAATATCTGCATCCAGTATAAAATATATAACAATTTTCACAATACTTTTGACAATCTGATATAAATATCAATGTTGAATAACAGGCATTGCATTGATAAACATTATGCCACCATGGTAAGTAAAGAATTGAGATTTGCTTATTAATCAAAGTTGATACTATCCATCCGGAAGAAATTAGATAACAATCTGAACATAATTTTAATTTATTTTGCTCCATATTCAACCTATCTGTTCCATGATAAAATGACTTTCCACATAATTTACAATATTTTTCGCTTTTAATCACTTTATTGTATATTTTGAAATCATTGATATTAAAATATAAATCTTTAATATATCCATTTATTTGTTTAAAACATAAAATTCTTGAGTTATTTTCATAGCATTCTTGAATATTTCGTGATACTCTTTTACGACTTAAATTAAATTCCAAGTCTATTGTGCAGATATATACGTCTAAGTAAATATTATCATCAGTTATATAACTGATATAAAGTGATAAACATTTTTTACAGTATCTTTGCTTATGACAGAGAAGTGTCAATATATTCTTCTCTACAATAAATACAATATATATCCTTTTCATTAAAAGAAATAAATTTAATAGGTACAGGACTAGACTTTAATCTTGGTGTTGGATCAAAAGAATTTTCATCATTTGTATTTACAAGTTCCATTTTAATAAATAATTTATGTATGTTGTGAAAAGAATTGATAATAATAAAAAAAATTTGAATGTATTTTCAACTTGATTATTTGTTTAACGTCCAGATTTTCAGAAAAGTTTGAGGGGGGGGATGGGTGTTTTTATTAAACAAACAAAACAAAAAAAAATTTTGAAATTTGGGAAAATTTCTGAAAATTGTACTTTAACTAAATTAAGTTAGTCTGTAGAGACTTCGGTCATTCAGTACTAATAAGTACTAGTACAAATTTGCAAATCATTACTTTGATGCAGATCAAGTAATGAGTAAAGTAGTACAGTACGACTGTACATTTACGCCATTGTATTTCAATAGTACGGAAAGTAATTCCGATTGCTTATGCCACAATGCCATTTATTTCCATTTTTTTGGAAACTTTCTACTTATTTGTCCTTTTACAGCTATTTGCGGACCACCTAATTCATTTTTCGACTGCGTATGAAATTTTCATACGCAGTCATACGCATGGACGGCATGGCGGACCGTCAAACTCATTTTTTGAATTTTTCATATGCAGTCATCCGCAGTTATATCACATAATTCTAGCAGTTTACTATGCGTGTATGACTGCGTATGGCTGCGTATGAAAATTTCATACGCAGTCGAAAATCGAATTAGGTAGTCCGTTATTTTTGCAAATAGCTTTAAGATGTAATACAATAATTTGTATGATTGAGTTTCCAAAATAAGAGAAAAACATTAAAATATATAGTAAAAGAAGCCAAAATCGGCTAAAATGAAATAAATGATTTGCCAGTGAATTCATTAGACTTAAACCAAGTAGGAACATATAGAAACTATTCAATAAATTATCCAGAAGCGTAATGCCCTTCCAAGAGCTGTAGGAGAACTTAAAGATGTTGCTGTACCAAAGGAAAAATAAAAATTTGGATAGTTCCGTTTTTGAGAAGGCTGCTGCTTCAGCATTATGAAAACTTAATGTATTATGGGAAGCAAGTTAGATATAAATTTTTCATTAGTGTGCAAACTAGTGAAAAAATATAAATATTTTTGCTTTTGTCTTCAATTTCAAGTCGTGCTTTATTTTCCTTCTAACTTGACTGTACATATAAAATCTCAAAAAAATTATACTAATACGAAATATTTTCATACAACATATAACTTTGAATTTTCGTACATATATGGGCCGACCAAAATTAAGGGATTTATAAAATTTATTTCAAAACCCAGAGTACAGTAAAGCAGCGGTTAAGGAACTATGATTCTGGCGTTGTGCTTACTTCATAATTTTTTTTCAAAAGCGTATCTTCAAACCCTATAAACTGTTCGTAGAACTGCTCTATAAATTCGTTTGTGGGCTCTTCATACGTTAAAACTATTTTTTCTGACATTTTGTATATAGTTTTAATCTAGAAATTTGATATCTCTTCCGCAGTTCCTAAAAATTTTGGTACAGAAGATCAGCAGGAATAATCTCCCCAAGTTCAAAATATTGTTCCATCCACTTAGATTTATTTACAATTAAATATGGCTGCAAATAATCCATTAGTTCTTGAAGAAGCGACGACCAAAACTCTGAAGTTTCTTGTTCATTTAATAAAATAACTCCACTATAAATATATCTAGATAACAAAAATTTTAATATAATAAAAAAAATTGGTATATAACTTTAATATTGTGGAAAAATTTGAAAAGTTTTTGGTGAAATATTTGACAATTTTTATGTGAGACAAGACATCATGATTATCATTCTTTTTATTGAAAGCCAAAGTTCGCCTTAATCTTAAAGGAGAACGGCGGTATAATCATATACGCGCAAAATATTATTCATTTGGATCTTCACCAACTTCGATATTATCATCCAAAATTAGTTTTGACTAAAATTTGGAAAAGTAAGAAGAGCAAAAAAAAAAATTTTTTTTTAAAAAAAATAAAGTTTGCGATTGTTTAATTGTTTAATGACGATCAAATTACAAATTCCTTTGCCCTCTCTTCATTAAAAAAGTACTTTTTTGGAATATGTTAAAATATAATTTTAGTTGATTTTTTTAAATAAAAAATTTATAAAATTTAATTATAATTGACCAAAAATTTAGTTTCTATCATAATTATCATAATAAAAAATTGATTTATTTAAAGATATTAAAAGATTTAATAAAATTTGAACATTCTATCATAATTACTATAATAGAAAATTAATTTAAATAAATATTTAATCATTATAATGTAATAAAATAATGAAATGTTTGAACTAATCTAAATTAAATTTTACATTATAATAAATAAAAAAATGTTCTTAATAATAATAATAATAATACCTTCTTCTGCTGTATCAATTTTGTGTTAAAGAAATTAAAAAATCACGACTTTTTGAATTACAGAAAATCATGGAAAAATTTGATGTATTAATGCTTTATTATATAAAATAATAATAATAATATTTTAAATATTTTCAATAATAGAGATGGAAAATAATATTTATTTTATATAATAAAATCTGTCTAATAATATCGTTCAGCCCAATAGGACGTAAATTTTCGTAGACCGATATTTTTATTAGGCATAGCAATAATACATAAAGTGGAGAAATTTTTATAGGAAAAGTTTAAATAAAGTTTATGAAGTGGATTAAAATAGCATAAAAATGCAAATTCTTAATAATAATAATGAAAATAATCAACATACTTTAATTAACAATGTTGGTGTATCTGATACGAATTTAAACACCTTGCACATTAATAATATTAATTCTACGACTCTTGCGCCTCATAATATTATATTTGAGTTTTATTATCATTTACCAAATGATACTCGTATCTATCGTGTTACTGCTTTTTGTGTCAAAAGAGAAACCCTCCTGGAACGAATGGATACAAAACCAAAGGTTTTTAAGCTCACGACAAATGGTACGTTCGCTAACCTCAAGCTCTGGATTTTTTTCCTCAAGTTGTGCCTTCGTTTCACCAGCTGTAGTGGTACGGTCGACCAGACAGATAACCTAATAACTTTGACACTTTTTTTTAATGAACTAACGTACCGTTCACCGGAGCGTAAGGGAACTCCTGTTCTTTGTGAAATTTCCCTTGCATTTCAGCTTTTTTGCTGCCAAAGAAGTTTAACGACATTTCTGTTTTTTTCAATGGTGGTTAATGCCATTTTAAAAGAAAAAACAGAAAAAATTTATTGTATATTATTTTTTTCTCGTTTGATTTTAAATGTAAAGCCTATTTACCAATTTGGAAACAATTAATAATTCCAAATTGGGAAAATGCTCGTGCTATTACTTAAAAATGAGATTTCATTCACACCGCCATTGCTTTCGCCCGGGGACTATAGTTTTGTATTAAATAAGATCTCTCTCTTGCAACTTGTTCAAATCTAAAAACAAAAGCAGACTGCCGATCAAAATGACCTGCAAGGATGGTATGGCAAGATAATCCAGCCTAATTTCTACTTTTGGTTAAATTAGTGATTAATTCATGATATTTTTAAACTAGAATTCCAAAAAGAAAATTTATATAACACAATTTAAACTTATGTAAGTATTACATAAGCTTAGTAATATTTTCAAAATGGATGAAATTGATGTCAATCATGTAGCACAAAAAATGAATAAGTTTTTTGAAAATAGAATTCCGGAAAGATATTTATTTCAGGCCTGAAGGCCATAAAGATGGAAGAAAGACATTGCTTATATAATTTTAATGATATATATGTCATCATATTTTGCTCTTCATGTCTTGATTGATACTAAAAAAATATAGATATCCGTTGATCTGCAGAATTCCGATGATCTGCAAAATTTGGAACGGTAAGCACAAATGTAACTAATGTAACTAATCATAAAAACACAAAAATTTTGTGAAACTAGCCTTTCGTTACAATCCGGAATAATAATAAAAAAAATATATTAAAACCTATGAAAGTATCGTTTCCGAATATTTTTTTGTTTGACCAACCCTCCTTACGTTAGTGAAATAAAAGATAAAATAATAATAATTTTCTTTAGTCACAAAAAAACAATCAGGGTTATTAGGTTCTTAGCCCTTTAAAAAAAATTGAAGCGTAGCATAATTATCCAACTACGTTATTTCAAGTATTATAAAAAATTTTCATGATATTAAATAAAAATAAATTGTCAAAAAAAATTATAAAAAAAAAATAAAAAATTTTTTCAATAAAATAAATCCTTAAAATAGCCAAATGGAAACTAAATTTAGTAAATCTAATATCTCAAATAAAAATACTGATAATATAAATACGAAAAATTGTTCATATTGCAATAAACCTCTTACTGAAGAATTATGGTGTAAGGAATATACTAATTCTTTAGAAAAATTAGTAGAAATTGGTGATAAAGTAACAATGTTTAGTTTGGCAAATAATTATAAAAATGGAGAAGGAACAGAAAAGAACTTAGAAAAAGCCTATTATTGGTATCAAAAAGCAGCAGAAAATGGTGATGAAGAAGCAATGTTCAGTTTAGCAATATGTTATAATAATGGAGAAGGAACAGAAAAGAATTTAGAAAAAGGCTTTTATTGGTATCAAAAAGCAGCAGAAAATGGTGATACTGATGCAATGTTTAATTTAGCCAATAATTACAGAACTGGAAAAGGAACAGAAAAGAATTTAGAAAAAGGCTTTTATTGGTATCAAAAGGCAGCAGAAAATGGTCATATTTATGCAATATTTAATTTAGCCATTAGCTATTATAATGGAGAAGGAACAGAAGAGAATTTGGAAAAAGCCTTTTATTGGTATCAAAAAGCAGCAGAAAATGGGTTTAAAGAAGCAATATTTAATCTAGCCAATAATTATAAAAATGGAGAAGGAACAGAAAAGAATTCAGAAAAAGCCTTTTATTGGTATCAAAAAGCAGCAGAAAATGGTAATGAAGAAGCAATGTTTAATTTAGCCATTAGCTATTATAATGGAGAAGAAACAGAAAAGAATTTAGAAAAAGCTTTTTATTGGTATCTAAATGCAGCAGTAAATGGTCATATTAAAGCAATGTATAATTTAGCCAATATCTATTATAGTGGAGAAGAAACAGAAAAGAATTTAGAAAAAGCCTTTCATTGGTATCAAAAAGCAGCAGAAAATGGTCATATTAAAGCAATGTTCAATTTAGCTATATGTTATAATAATGGAGAAGGAACAGAAAAGAATTTAGAAAAAGCCTTTCATTGGTATAAAAAAGCAGCAGAAAATGGTAATAAAAAAGCAATGAGCAGTTTAGCCATATCTTATGAGAATGAGGAAAAAACAGAAAAGAATTTAGAAAAAGCATTTTATTGGTATAAAAAAGCAGCAGAAAATGGTGATGAAGAAGCAATGTTCAATTTAGCCATATTTTATGAAAATGGAGAAGGAACAGAAAAGAATTTAGAAAAAGCCTTTTATTGGTATCAAAATGCAGCAGAGGATGGTAATGAAAAAGCAATGAATAGTTTAGCCATATTTTATGAAAATGGAGAAGGAACAGAAAAAAATTTAGAAAAAGCATTTTATTGGTATCAAAAAGCAGCAGAAAATGATAATGAAGAAGCAATATTCAATTTGGCCATATGTTATAATAATGGAGAAGGAACAGAAAAGAATTTAGAAAAAGCCTTTTATTGGCATCAAAAAGCAGCAGAGAATGGTGATAAAAAGGCAATGTTTAATTTAGCCAATAGCTATTATAATGGAAAAGGAACAGAAAAGAATTTGGAAAAAGCCTTTCATTGGTATAAAAAAGCAGCAGAAAATGATTATATTAAAGCAATGTATAATTTAGCAAATAGTTATTATAATGGGCAAGGAACAGAAAAGAATTTGGAAAAAGCCTTTTTTTGGTATCAAAAAGCAGCAGAAAATGGTATTAAAGAAGCAATATTTAATTTAACCATATTTTATAAAAGTGGGGAAGGAACAGAAGAGAATTTAGAAAAAGCCTTTTATTGGTGTCAAAAAGCAGCAAAAAATAACTATAAAGAAGCAATGTTTAATTTAGCTATATTTTATAAAAGTGGAGAAGGAACAGAAAAGAATTCAGAAAAAGCCTTTTATTGGTATAAAAAAGCAGCAAAGAATGGTAATGAAAAAGCAATGACTAATTTAGCCAATAGCTATTTTAATGGAGAAGGAATAGAAAAAAATTTAGAAAAAGCCTTTTATTGGTATCAAAAAGCAGCAGAAAATGGTATTAAAGAAGCAATGTTTAATTTAGCCAATAGCTATTATAATGGAGAAGGAACAGAAAAGAATTTAGAAAAAGCCTTTCACTGGTATAAAAAAGCAGCAGTAAATGATCATGTTAAAGCAATGTATAGTTTAGCCAATAGCTATTATAATGGAGAAGGAACAGAAAAGAATTTAGAAAAAGCCTTTCATTGGTATCAAAAAGCAGCAGAAAATGGTATTAAAGAAGCAATGTTTGATTTATCCATATTTT